AAGGGCAGTGTCAAAGAATGTTCCAACTATTTATTTATTTATTTTATATATACCCCGCCTATCTGGTCATTGCGACCACTCTAGGCAAATACCATACAATTGCACTCATTTCACACTCTAGCAAGGTTATGCTCAAAATCCTACAAGGTAGGCTTCAGCAGTATGTGAACTGAGAACTCCCAGAAGTACAAGCTAGATTTTGAAGGGGCAGAGGAACTAGAGATCAAATTGCTAGCTTGCCCTGGATTATGGAAAAAGCCAGAGTTCCAGAAAAATATCTACTTCTGCTTCATTGACTATGCAAAAGCCTTTGACTGTGTGGACCACAGCAAACTGTGGCAAGTTCTTAAAGAAATGGGAGTGACTGACCACCTTATCTGTCTCCTGAGAAACCTATATGTGGGACAAGAAGCAACAGTTAGAACTGGATATGGAACAACTGATTGCTTCAAAATTGGGAAAGGAGTATGACAAGGCTGTATATTGTCCCCCGGCTTATTTGAATTATAGTATTAAATAGATGAATATGTAAGTGGCACTGACTTCAACATGGGAAATGTCATCCAAGTTACCTCCAGTGCCTCAGTTAAGACACCAACAAACTGAGATCACCCACCATTTTGTTCTTTTGCCACTGATGATATTTCAAAACAATGTTCTTGAAACTGACTAGGATGTCACCTTTTACCATATTGATAGCCTTGCCTGATTTTCTTGACTGCTGGGACTGGAACAAGGAGCTTCAGCAACAGGCGCTAATAAAAAAACGGCACCACTCTTGTGAAGAAACAACCACAACGGGGGAGGGAGACATGAGTGTATTCACTAAGAAAAACACACAAATACACACAAAGGGGGTCCAGGTGCCTTGCGTGAGGGGTCCCTCCTGCTCCACCCTGACTTCCCATATCTCTTTCCCCACACAAAAAGCCCCACTAAAGATCCTCCCTCCCCCCAGAAGGAGACGAGGAATGGAGAGGGCCCCCCTGCCTACGTGACGACTGGGGGGGTATATTTCTCCCCTTTGGGGAAATATCTTTCTAGGGACACCCCCTTTCTGCTTCATTTCCCCCCAGGGCCATCACCCACCTCCATCTGGATGCTCAAGTGAAGCTCCATTGTAGGCGGTGGGGGCGTAGGAGGGGCCTCAGAGAAATGGCGCTTGGAGGGGGGCAGAAGATAGGGGGTTGGCTAGGAGCGAGGGGGGCTAGATCCAGGCCCCTTAGTCTGCCCTCTGACCAGGTGGCCTCTGTCCCTTTCCCCCTCCCCCCTCCCGGACCAGCACTGGAGGGGTAGATCCTGCGGGCCAGTTCCTCTGGTCCCCCCCAAGAAAGGAGATCTCTGCTTCAAAGTTTTCTCCTGGCTGCCAGGAAGAGCCCTTTCCAGGGGTCGGGTCCCAAAGGCCCCCTTCCGGCCCAGCCCGTTTTCCAAAGGCCGGCTCCTCGTTTCCGAAGACGAACCACCTCTCCTGCAGCCTCTGATTTTGGAGGCTCCTCTTGATGGACGGAGGGGGCTTTGGGAAGAATCAGAAGAAGACTCGTCCCTCCTATAAGGAGGGCTGGAGAAAATAAAAAGAGAAATGTAACCCAGAAAGAGTCCCTCCTCACGGGGATCATTTCAGCCTTTGCATCTGGGGGTGGGTGGGAGGCAGGTCTTTTGTAAAGCCAATGGCTCTGAAGCATCCATTGCAGAACCAACCAGGCATCACGATAGGAGGGGGGAGCTCAGCCGCAAGACCCCACCATCTGCATCCCTCCCAGCTCCTGTGAGGGTTGTGAGTGAAGTTGGGGGGGAAGCGTAGGAGTGGGTAGGTTGGAAGATAGCTGGCAATGTGGATGATGATGATGACACATTTCTATGCTGCCCATCTGGCAGCCAAGGCAGCTCCTGATGTCCCTGCAAGGGAGGGAAATTCCTGACACATGAACGAGGCCCTGAACTGAATCCTGACCCTCAATCCCCCCATGCTCTTCCCACCCAAAGCAATGGGGGCAGGAGGTGCCCATTTCCTACACTGGGAAAATTATGTGTGTGTGATTGCGAGGAGTCTTGTGTGAGGTTTGCTGATGATGATTTTGGGTTCAAAAATATTCTCCGGAAATTGTCTGAATCTCCTCTTGGTTTTCCCTTTTCCTGCATATCTCATACTATATTTCATTTTGGTAGTTGTTGTGGGTTTTTGGGGCTCTTTGGCCGTGTTCTGAAGGTTGTTCTTGCTAACGTTTCACCACTCTCTGTGGCCGGTATCTTCAGAGGACAGGAGTCGGAACTGCACCAGAGCAAAGAGTGCTGACTCCTTTCCTCTGAAGGGGCCGGCCACAGAGACTGGCGAAATGTTAAGGAAGAAATAAATAAACCACCATTAGAACAGGGTCAAAGAGCCCCAAAAACCCACAACAAACATGCAAAAGTATTTAAACTTTAGAAATAAATATATACAAAGTAAAAAAAGCACTATTTGGCTGTAAGTGCAAGAGAAAATTTTGTTCTCACCCAGCCATGTGTAAAATCCATTGCAGGCTGTCACTGCCACATGGTTATCTTTCCGCTCTTCCAAGGACTTTCACCTGGCATCAGTTCCATTGTCTGTTGTACTCCATGAAACCAAAAATCTGCGGTTCTCAGTTCCTTTCTAATTACAGTTTGTGGGAGGTCTCTCCCAATATTTATACAGTCGCACCTTGCTTAACGATTGCCCCACAGTACGACGAAACTGCATTACGATGATCTTTTTGCGATGGTCTAAATAGGGTTTTTTCGCTTTGCGATGATCGATTCCCTGCTTCGGGAACCGATTCTTTGCAAAATGATGTTTTTTCAACAGCTGATCAGCGGTTTCAAAATGGCCACCGGCTAATTAAAATGGCTCCCCGGTGTGTTTAGGGACTGATTCTTCGCTATAGAGGCAGCAAAAAATGGCTGCCGTATGGAGGATCTTCACTGGACTGTGAGTTTTTACCCCATTGGAATGCATTGAAGGGATTTCAATGCATTTCAATGGGGTTTTATTTTGCTTTACGATGTTTTCGCTTAACGGTGATTTTCCTGGAACGGATTGTCGTCGTTAAGCGAGGTACCATTGTATTCCTTTATTCTGCATCAGTCAGCAAAACCAAATCTTCCCAAGGCTTGGGTTTCCCAGCCTCCGAGAAGCTCAGATGTTAAAGAACAAAGGATTTGGTCTCCTCCGACCCACTCCTTCCAACAATCCCTGCCATTACAAAGCAGTATTCTCTCAATACAATAGAATAGAAATCCCTCATTCTTCAGGAATAATATATATTCATGAATTTTATATATACAGTGCTGCCTCGCTAGACGATTGCTTCACATAATGAGGAATTCATTTTATGATGTTTTCAGAGTGATCTTGTGCTTCGTATAACGATGTTTCCTATGGGCGATTTTCACTTTACGATGTTAGGGACCTTGCCTCGCAAGACGGTTAAATTTCAGGTCCCTGTTTTTTGCTTTATGATGTTTTTGACTGCTTGGTCTTGCTTTGCTAGACGGGTCTTTTAATGGTCGATGCGTATTTTAGTGGTAGCTGTTTAGTTAGACGGCTGTGTTCGCTTGGGAAATGCGTTTTGCTTAATGATGTTTCCAATGCCGATTTTCACTTTACGATGACAATCCGTTCCCATTGGAATGGATTATCAGGTTTTCAATGCATTTCAATAGGAAAACGTGTTTGCAAGATGATGATTTCGCTTAACAGCGATTTTCGCAGAACAAATTAACATTGTCTTGCAAGGCACCACTGTATATGTATGTGTGTGTGTGTGTGTGTGTGTGTGTGTCTATCTATCTATCTATCTATCTATCTATCTATCTATCTATCTATCTATCTATCTATCTATCTATCTATCTATCTATCTATCTATCTATCTATCTATCTATCTATCTATCTATCCACACACACACACACACACACACATATATAAAAGAGAATACAAATTCATTGGTACCCTCTTTAAAACACAATTACTATTATTATTTTTGAGGGTGAAGCCTTCTAAAACAAATGACAGCTTCTCTTCACTACTTGCTTTTCTTTCATCAGTTAGCCTTAAAATATCCATCCCTTTCTCTATTTACACTAATTTTGTAAAAGCTTCCATTGCACAATATATGCTTATTTTCATTTTTTTACCACAAGTTTCCATGTCTATTTTGTGATATTTGTTAATTAACGATGGAAGGAAAAGACAGCAGAAGTGGCACTTCAAAATGCACTCCATTTATTGTCTTTTCTCTCTGTTTTGCATTACGCCAGCATTTTGTTGTTTATTCTTTCCAGTGGAAACCAGCACAAAATTGAATGAGCTCCTTCTGCCTTCTTTCCACATCCCATGCATTTCCAAGGTTTCTCCCCAGTGTGAGTACTTTTATGTATAGTGGTGCCCCGCATGATGACGATAATCAGTTCCAGGAAAATCGCTGCACAGCAAAATCATAATGCAAAAAAAAAATCCCCATTGGAATGCATTGAAAATCATTTAATGCATTCCAATGTGGAAAATACTTCATTATTTTGTGAAGATCGCCCATAGAGAACTGCCGATCAGCTGTTTTAAATCGCTGTCTTGCTAAGCGTCTGTCTGGAAAACACCCATTTTGCGAAGGGAAGCCATTCATTTTGCGAAGGGAAGCCATTTTGCGAAGCTGTCAAAATCGTTGTCTTGTGAACAAACAGTTCACGAAGCACGGACCAAATCATTGTGAAGTGAAAATCCCCCATAAGAATGACTGTTTTGCGAATCGCTATAGCGATCGCAAGAAGTCATCATCATGCGGTTTCGTCGTTCAGCGAGGCTGTCGTCTATCGGGGCACCACTGTAATCTAAGGGCATCACAGCGACTAAAAGTCTTTCCACATTCCATGCATTTATGTGGTTTCTCCCCAGTGTGGGTCATTTGATGTACTCTAAGCTGACCACTCTGACTAAAACTCTCTCCACATTCCATGCATTTATGTGGTTTCTCCCCAGTGTGTGTCCTTTGATGTAACCTAAGATTACCACTGCAACTAAAGCTCGTTCCACATTCCATGCATTTATGTCGTTTCTCCCCAGTGTGTGTCCTTTGATGTAACCTAAGATTACCACTGCAACTAAAGCTCGTTCCACATTCCATGCATTTATGTCGTTTCTCCCCAGTGTGTGTCCTTTGATGTAACCTAAGATTACCACTGCAACTAAAGCTCGTTCCACATTCCATGCATTTATGTCGTTTCTCCCCAGTGTGTGTCCTTTGATGTAACCTAAGATTACCACTGCAACTAAAGCTCGTTCCACATTCCATGCATTTATGTCGTTTCTCCCCAGTGTGTGTCCTTTGATGTAACCTAAGATTACCACTGCAACTAAAGCTCGTTCCACATTCCATGCATTTATGTCGTTTCTCCCCAGTGTGTGTCCTTTGATGTAACCTAAGATTACCACTGCAACTAAAGCTCGTTCCACATTCCATGCATTTATGTCGTTTCTCCCCAGTGTGTGTCCTTTGATGTAACCTAAGATTACCACTGCAACTAAAGCTCGTTCCACATTCCATGCATTTATGTCGTTTCTCCCCAGTGTGTGTCCTTTGATGTAACCTAAGATTACCACTGCAACTAAAGCTCGTTCCACATTCCATGCATTTATGTCGTTTCTCCCCAGTGTGTGTCCTTTGATGTAACCTAAGATTACCACTGCAACTAAAGCTCGTTCCACATTCCATGCATTTATGTCGTTTCTCCCCAGTGTGTGTCCTTTGATGTAACCTAAGATTACCACTGCAACTAAAGCTCGTTCCACATTCCATGCATTTATGTCGTTTCTCCCCAGTGTGTGTCCTTTGATGTAACCTAAGATTACCACTGCAACTAAAGCTCGTTCCACATTCCATGCATTTATGTCGTTTCTCCCCAGTGTGTGTCCTTTGATGTAACCTAAGATTACCACTGCAACTAAAGCTCGTTCCACATTCCATGCATTTATGTCGTTTCTCCCCAGTGTGTGTCCTTTGATGTAACCTAAGATTACCACTGCAACTAAAGCTCGTTCCACATTCCATGCATTTATGTCGTTTCTCCCCAGTGTGTGTCCTTTGATGTAACCTAAGATTACCACTGCAACTAAAGCTCGTTCCACATTCCATGCATTTATGTGGTATCTCCCCAGTGTGGGTCCTTTGATGTACCCTAAGGGCACTACTCTGACTAAAACTCTTTCCATATTCCATGCATTCATACGGTTTCTTCCCTGTGTGAGTTCTTTGATGTGAACGCAGATTTCTTCTCCCACTGAAACTCTTTTCACATTCAGTGTTTTTGTACGATTTCTCCCCAGGGTGAGTTCTTTAAACTGAACTAGCGACACTGGTCTGAAGCTATCTCCACACTCCTCTAGTTCATGGTTTTTTCCAAGCTTTTCTTTCCGGCTTCACACTTGACTCTTTTCAGGGCCAGAAGAAGTGACTCTGTATAATTCTGGCATTACCTGATAGAGAAAAAAGATATCTTGAGAATTTCAGCACAGAGCAGAATCTAACTGGAGGTCACACCAGAGTTTGCTCTGTCTTTGACTCCTTTGAAAGACATATGTCTCCTGAAGGCTTTATTGGCAACATTTGAATAATTAGCCGTATTGGTCAAACAGCATGGACTCCCCTTGCCTGAACTGATACTCCCAAAGTGACAGTGATGGGAAAATATAGTTGATTAATGTTAAACCCTATCCGAAATAATATTATTCATGGGTCATCAAGTCAATTCTGACTGATGGCAATCCTTTTTCTTTCGGGGGTTTCTAGGTGGAGCATACTCAAAAGTCATTCCCCATTCCCTGCTTCTGGGACCATGCAGTTTCCCGAAGGTCACACAGGCTGACCTTACCCGTGGGAGACACAGCGGGAAACCTCTGGGTCTGCAACTGGATATTTAATCCACTGACCTATCCAGCCAGCTTACTCAGAAATACAAGGAGAGAGTTTGATTAGAATTGAGGTTTTACTGGAAAAGTTCCATGGTTTACTTGAAAATTTCCTCCACTGTACGGTACTTAATTGAAAGCCATTGCAAGTCCAGAAATGTATTGAAAATGGTGATCGCTTGAAAGGAGAAAGGGAAGAAAGAGTAGGAGAACCTGGATTAATAAAAAGCCACTGTTGGCTCACATTTAGCTTGCAATCTACAACAATTCCAAGATCCCTCTCATAGTTTTGCTGAGCCAAGTATCCCCCCCCATCTTGTAACTACAATTGGTTTCTTTTTCCAGGATGCAGGACTTTGCACTTGACCGTGGCCAGGTAGGAGCTTGCGAAAAAGAGGGGAAATATTATTAAATACAGCCTGTGAATGTTTATGGGTTAGGGTTTTTTAAGGAAAATAGTTAAAGTTTAATTATTTGTTACTACAGTGGTGCCCCGCATAGTGATGTTAATCTGTTCCGGATTAATTGTCGCTATGCAAAAACATCGCTAAACAGATCGAAAAACCCCATAGGAATGCATTAAATTTAGTTTAATGTGGTCCTATGCGGGAAAAACTCACCGTTCAGCGAAGTTCCTCCATAGCGCCGCCATTTTCGCACCCTCGGTAAGCGAGGGCAGGGCGCGAAAACACTTGCGGCGGCCATTTGGGGCACTCGACGATCATTTTGGAACTGCCGATCAGCTGTTGTAAAAACATCGCAATGCGAAGATCAATAAGCGAAACGCTTACCGATCATCGCAATGTGAGGTTTTCCCTACCTAAACATCGCAATGCGATCGCTTTTGCTATCGCAAAAGCGACATCGCTATGCGGATTCGTCGTTAAACGGTGCGCTCGTTAGCGAGGCACTACTGTATTATGTGTTGCTTTGCTGAGTTATGTTGTCAGAGTATGGGACCAAATGGAGATGTGATGCTAAAATGGAATGGTTTAAAGTCTTGATAAATAAAGATAAATGTTAATGGATGAAGAGGAAGATAATTTAAACCCTACCAAGGATGAAAGAAGATATCATATTATAATATATAATAATATATATATGATATATGTGAAAGAAGGTATAATATTACAACCCCTTCATAGATTGCTGCCTTGTTTTGGCGAAGAGGCTTGAGTAACTCAGAGAAGCTATGGGCTATGCTGTGCAGGGACACCCAAGAGTTCTGACAAAATGCGATCCACCTGGAGTATAAATTGGCAAGCCACTCCAGTATCTTTGCCAAGAATACCCCATGAACAGAAATAAAAGGCTAAAATATATGATGTTAGAAGATGGGACCCTCAGGTTGGAAGGCGTCTAACATGCTACTGAGGAAGAGCGGAGGACAAGTACAAGTAGCTTCAGAGCTAATGAAGTCGTTGGGCCAAAGCAGAAAGGACACTCAGCTGTGGACGTGCCTCGAAGTGAAAGGAAAGTCCGATGCTGCAAAGAAAACTACTGCATAGGAACCTAGAATGTAAGATCTATAAACCTTGGGAAGCTGGAAGTGGTCGAACAGGAGATGACAAAAATAAACATTGACATCCTGGGTGTCAGTGAACTAAAATGGACAGGAATGGGCAAATTCAATTCAGATGATTATCATAACTACTATTGTGAGCAAGAATACCGTAGAAGAAATGGAGTAGCACTCATAGTCAACAAGAGTGGGAAAAGCTGTAATGGGATATAATGTCAAAAATAATAGAATTATTTCTTTAATAATAATAAACCTTTATTGGCATACAAGAATGATTTCAATACGAATCCAAGGCAGACCTTTCAACATCCAGGTTATGCACCAACCACTAATGCTGAGGAGACTGAAATTGACCAATTTTATGAAGACTTACAAGACCTTCTAGTGTAGATCTTGAACAGAAGATGGGTTATGTAGTGATGAACAAAGTGAAATGGATTCCATTTTGGTTCTCTGCATAGATGATTTCTGCAGTGCTGACAAAGTATTTTGCTAGTAGGAAGGGCGAATGTTTTTCTGTAGGCCTGAGAAGAACATTCCAAGATAAGATGGATGGACTTTGTTGTGGCGTATTGCAGACGGCTAAACCCAAACAACACCTGTTACCCATGGGAAAGGAATGGAGCAGGGAAGACAGAAGATAAAGAGGGATTGTTTACCAGACATCGTGCCATGATTGGATGACATCATGAGAAGTGGAAGATAAGGGATGTGCCAGCTAAGCTTGAAAAAGGAACTTTTGCCTATGGACGTGGAGGATGATTATGAGAGTTAGTTAACACGGAGTTAGTTAGCACAATGATTATTAGATTTTTGATTGGTAGGATATGGATTATTAGAATAGGATGTTTTACAGGATAATGATGGACAATGGACATTTATACTTACTTGGACTATTTT